AGCACACATCACGAAAGATGTGCCGCCCAACCATTTTACGTGTGCAGTTCAGTGTCCCTAAGTACATTCACGGTGCCGCGCAGCTGTCCCCACCATCTCCAGAACTCCTTTGTCCTGTGAAACTCAAAGTCTGCCAATTAAGGAGTGACTTTCCAGTTCTTTGCGCCCACCACCTGCTTTCTGTCTCCGGGATCTGATGGGTCCAGGGACCTCATCCGCGAGGATCGCATGGCCCCGAGTGCCCCAGGCTCGTCTGTGCAATGGCGGGGCCAGAACAGCCCTCCTGTTTGAGGCTCAGTAACACGTGTTAACCCGCTGTGTGGGCGTGAGCTGCAGCACACTTAGCAGTTCCATACATTCTGAACATTCTCCCTTTTTACAGGTTTTTCTACTCCGCGGATCGTGTCCTCTTTTTTTTTTTTTTTTAAGACTTTATTTATGAGAGAGCGAGCAAGTTGTGGGGAGGAGCAGAGGGAGAGGGGCAAGCAGACTCCATGCTGAGAGCAGAGTCCAATGTGGGCATGACCTCAGGACCCTGAGATCGTGACCTGAGCTGGAGCCAAGAGTCAGGCACTTCACTGACTGAGCCCCCCTCTGTGGACAATGTCTTTGGATACAGGAAAGGCAGATTTCCCTAAGTGCAGTGTCTCTTTCTTCTTTTGCGACCTGTGCCTTTGGTGTCCTATCCAAGAAACCATTGCCAGACCCAGCGTCCTAAAGCTTTTGCCCTGAGTTTTCATCTAACCATTTATAGTTGTAGGTCCTACATTTAGGTCATTTATCCATTTTGAAAGACTTCTGGTAATGGTGTTACCTAAGAATCCAACTTCATTGTGATAAAAGCATCTTATTTAAAAAACTAAAGTCATGGAATACAAATCTTATATTTTTACTTCCCCCTTATATCAGATCACACAGGTTTCCTCTAGATGCAATAATTAGCAGGTAGGATTCATTGTTATATAATTCTTGGTGTCCTTACCAGAAATTGAGAAAGTGAATTGTGCCAAGGGTTTGGGCAGGAAATCATACAAGCCAGTTGTTTCCAGTATTTTGCTTCTAACAGCATTCAAAGTTGTCCTAATTAAATTGTCAGCTAATAGATTATCAAAAGTAATTTTAACGATAGAGCACTCTATGATTATTTATCTTTGGCACACGACCTGGTGAGAGTCCGAGAGCTGGGGTCTGGCGTACCTTCGGAGCCCTCGGTCCCATCTGCTCGCTGCCCAGAGAAGCCTTCCCAGTGCTGACATTCACGGCAAGAAGGAGAGAAAGAGCCAACGCCACACTTGCCTCGTGGCATGTTAAACAGTTTTCATTCAGTGAAAGATTTTTTAAGTCTTTACTTTGGCTGGTTAATAATTATCTACGAAATGTTGTGGCTGTGTTCTAATCGTGATTTAATCATTGTAATGACTCGGGCTAGAACCTTCTTTACTGCAAAAAATCTATTTTATATTACTTTATAGTTCTGGTGAAATACACATGCCTTATATTTGCCATTTTAGCCAGTTTTCAAGCACGTTACCAGCCTCAGCTCCACTCACATTGTTGTACATTCAATCCAGGACTCTTTCCATAGGCAGAATTAAAACTCCATACCCACTGACAACAAAATGTAGAAGCATTCTCCACACGTAGAGCCTTGTGGCTATGTGAAAAAGAATGTTTAATTCAACTTATCTGTTTTTCTTGCACAGAAGAGTGATAGGGCACTCAGGCATAAATTATTATGATAAAATGCTGGGGCAGGGTAATAGCAACAAGAGACCAAACAGGAAAAGCAACCCTGTGGAACCTGGGATCTCCAGAAGAGTTTGCTTATTCTATTTTAAAATGCGTGATGGTGACATCACATCACTATGGCATTTAGATTTCATTGACTGTATTTGAAAGGTTATCTGATATTTATTTTTAAAAGAAATATCTGCAGAACGCCAGAAATTGTGTCCCTTGCAACTGTTTGTCTTTCTTATGAAAGTCAGGGACGCCTGGGGGCTCAGTCCTTACGCCTCTGCCTTCGGCTCAGGTCATGATCCAGGGTCCTGGGATTGAGCCCCGCATCGGGCTCCCTGTCTGCGGGGAGTCTGCTTCTGCCTCTGCTCCCCACTTGTGCTCTCTCTCACTATCTCTGTCTTTCTTTCTCTCAAATAAATAAAATACTTTAAGAAAAAAGAAAAAGTTACATGCTAACTTTAAAATATATTATCCTTTTTATCATGGTAGTTTTTTGAGTTCTTCAGGGGCACGTGATGTTTGAAGACCGCTCCAGTAGTGTGTCCGGATCCCTCCGAAAATGCCTGAGCTTTCCCTGGAGACCATCTTGAAATGCCCAGAATCTCCACTGGGGGGGGGGGGTCTCCCCCAGGTCATGAGCCTCCCCCAAGGCTCATGACCATGTAGTGACTGCTGAGGGTCAGACCTGCTATCCCAGTGTCAAACTGGCTGAACCCCACAAACGAGGCTGCCTGTCCTCACTCCAAACCAGTCAGGACTTCAAAGCTCAGTGCTTACTAAGGAAAGTTTTTTAAGAAAAACCTTCATATGGCACCTGTTCTAGGTTAGCAGGCAAGTTAGCTGCCTGAAACCGCCCACCTTCTCTTCCCTGTGTCCTGACCACAGCTGTGGCATTTCCCCTTAGAAGGACCAAGGTGCACAGAGTAAAGTAACCCACAGAATGGGAGGAATCATGCCCATCATGGTCACAGAGACAAACTGTGTGATCCCACTCATGTGAAGGACGGGGAGGAGTCGCAGTCCTAGAGTCCTGGGGCAGGTGATGGCGAGGGACTGGGAGAGGGGCTGGGGCATCGTGTTCGAGGGGACAGACTCAGTCCACAGCATCCAAAGGCATGTGGATGGTGGGGACCTGGCACAGATGGTCAGTTTTATGTTATGTGTATTTTGCCACAATAAAAATGTAATATCCCATTTCATACCTCTTTTTGCTAAACTTGGAGGTTCATTCAACGTATGAAGCGTATTTGCCATTCTGTGGAATCGACTAAGCCAGCCTCATTATCAAACAGGTCAGAGTAGCTTTATCTGGATTTTCATTTCACATCAGCACAGTAGGACGTATTTTGAAGGAAACTAATAGAAAAAGTGAGAAACAGCTTAGCTGTGTCTTAGACCAAACGGGCTTGTCCAACGTGCTGGTTCTCCCTGCTCAAGCTGGGATGTGGCCTCGGTCCCACAGGGGTGAGAGGAGGAGAGGCAGCCCGAGTTGCTTAGAGCATGTGCATGGCGTCCAGTCTGGGGAAGAAGCGCAAACGTCGGAGGTGCTCACTGCTCTCATCAGACGGGATCCAACTCCCTTGACGTGTTTACTGAACGGGGGCGCATAGGGATTCAGGCCGCTCTGCAAGCTAACTGGTGTCAGGACCGAGGTGGCGCAGGGGGGGTGGCTGCTGTTCAGACACGTTCGTGATGGGATGGCACAACCCAAGCTGAAAAGGACTCCCCGGAGTGCACGTCATAGGCTCGGCCCCAGGCGTCCTGATGAGTCTCATGGCCGCGGGGTGCCGTCCCCGTGTGCAGAGGCCAGCCCGTGGGGTGTACGGGGACAAATACGAAATCACTCCTGTCTTTAAAGAATTCGGGGAGGGACTTTCAGGTTTGCTGGGCTGTGCACCCCCATGGCAGCAAAGGGGGAAGCCCCGCCGCACCCCCTTCACCCCGCGTGTGGGAGGCAGACTGTGGAGCCGTGCTTCCTCATGGAGGGTGGCCGTTCCCAGACCGACGTTTTCAGATGTCCCGCTGTTGTGTGCCTGGAAGTGTTTTTATTCCCGGGGCAGTGCAGGGTGGGTGAGGACTTTGTTTCCTTTTGCTTTTTTGCTTTTGCTCTGATTCTCAGAGATCTGTGGGTGGGGAGATTGGGAGATGGACTCCCCTAAAATCGTTGGTTTCGTATGTGCAGTCCCCAGCCCGACAGCACCCGCTTCTCCTGGGAACTTGTTAAAAATGCAGGTCTTGGGCTGGCCTCCAGGTCAGCACAGTCGTGACCTCAGGGGGACTCCAGGTGGTTCTGACACCCACCCTGTTTGAGAGCCACACAGACCCATGTGGTGGGAGCGATTGGCCCTTGACATAATGTCTAGATGACGTAACGACTCGTTCGGTGTAAACGTCATTGGACGTTTCATTTATGTGTGTTCCGGAGCCACTGTAATTAGTTTTCAGTTACATTGAAGAGCACTCGTCTGTCCTGCCTGATGAGTAAAGGTCCCTGTAGCCAAGTGAGGGACAGCAACCCACCCCAATCCGGAAAACCGTGGACCAGACTGGCGGTGTCCTCAGACGCCAACACGGTGCAGCCCACGGGAGGTGACCTGGGGTCCTCTGCCCCGAGAACTGCGTGGGTACCTGAGCCAAGGCCAGGGCAGTCAGGCATTCCCCAGGGCACATGGCGAATACCCGCTTTTCTGGGGACAGACCTGCTCTGTCCCTCTGGCCAGTGCAAGGACCCCGCCTCCCGAGATTTCTGAAGCCTCCTTTGTACCACCGTCCTTCCTCCCTTCACTTTGGCTTCCGATCTGACCCTTTTGAAGCACAGTCATTCGGTCCTTTAGAAATGCAAACCCTATCAGGTAGTTCCTAACCTAAAGTCCTTGTAGGACTACCCACTGCCCTCAGGCGAATGCAGAGCTTCCAGGGGGCTCTTGCTTCCCTCCTGCCCCTGAGGGTCTGACCCTGCCTCAGGGCTGTCCAGACCGTAATCTGGGCCTGCAGGGCAGCCGTGGGTGGAGGCCCTCACCGAGGCTCCTGTCATTTCATGCGCCGTCCTGGTTATTAGTTTTGACATTGCTCTTCGTGTCCAGCCTGAGCCCCAGCACCCGTCCTGCCCGCAGCGCTGGCGGAGCTGCTCCCCCCACTCTTGTCTTTGCACAAGCTCCGTGAGGACGGGGATACTGTCACACACTTGTCATTCAGGGAACAAGCCTTATTTCGGCCGCCCTTCCCCACCACTCATTTACTCCCTGTCTCTCGCGCTGTAGTTTGGGGCTGAGTTCCGGAGGTTCTCCTTGGACCGCCACAAGCCTGGGAAGTTTGAAGACTTCTACAAGCTGGTCGTGCACACGCACCACATCTCCAACACGGACGTGACCATCGGCTACGCGGACGTGCACGGGGACCTGCTGCCCATCAACAACGACGACAACTTCTGCAAGGCCGTGTCCAGCGCAAACCCTCTGCTCCGGGTCTTCATCCAGAAACGAGGTACGGGGCGGGGGTGCTGCCTGTCCCCAATGCCCGTCACACTGGTGCAGCACCCACTGCCGTCTGTCAGGACAGAACCACGTGGTTCTTGTGTCTGCCCCGTGGGCAGATGAAAGAAAGTGATGTTTGTTTGGTCAATGTTAATTTGTTAGACAATTTAAAGATTTTTTTTTTTAATTTGATAGAGAGAGATCAGCAGGCAGAGAGGCAGGCAGAGAGAGATGGAGAAGCAGGCTCCTTGCTTGCGGAGCAGAGAGCCCGATGCTGGGCTTGATCCCAGGATCCTGAGATCATGACCGGAGCCGAAGGCAGAGGCTTTAACCCACTGAGCCACCCAGGTGCCCCTTGTTAGACACTTTAAAATGCATTTTCCGTCTTCAGTAGTGTTGACTTCTGACGTCCAAATACTGAGGATGGAATAATATTGACGCTGTCATATTTGACTGGAAGCAAGGGAGTTCACTAACAAGCAGGCTTTAGCCAGTAACGCGAGAGTGAAGCTGTGGCTGCCAGTGTGTGCTCTCCACTGTCTTCTCAGGGTTGGAAAATGATGCGAGCTTTCAGTTATAACTTCGGTTAACTTTTCGCGCTCAGGGCCTAGCTTTGCTGTAACAGTATCATTTTATGGGAAAATAAGCTGCTCGTGTAGGTGTCTGGTTGGGAGGGAGGACCCCCGCTGCTGAGTTCAAGCGCGTCCTTGTGCCACTCCCAGCTGCATTTTAGATGTTTGTTTTCATCTCAGAGTCAGGAGAAACTTCCCGTTTCACAGTGAAATACTGAGGAGAACCCCTGCAGGTGCGGCTCGACATTTGGAAAACAGCGCTTCCTGGTCGACTTGGTCATGACCAGACCTTCTGTGACCCCAGCGAGCACCTCGGGGACCCCGCTGGCCGCCTGCACGGGGCAGAGCACCTCGGGGACGCTTCCAGAGGGACAAGAACAGCTCGCGGTGGGGACAGGGGGCTGGGCGCATCCTGTAGCCACCACAGTGTTGGCGGCAGGAGGAGGCCAGGACCCGGGGCCATGTGTGGGGCCAGGAGCCCAGCTCTGAAGGCAGGCAGGGTCCCTGCGGCGCGGACGGCCATCTGGACGTAGGTGCCGTCAAGCGGCCGCACAGCCAGGTGCCCGAGCGAGCTGGCCGACAGCCCGTGCTCCGTGCGGACTCGCTGGGGCCGACTGGTTTGTGGGCTGGAAGGGAGCACACAGAGGGGGAGCCACAGGAGATCTGCTGACCTCCCTTTCCGACGGGTCCTCTGGCATGAGATCACACAGCTTTGCCTCTGCCGTCTTGCTGAGCTGGGTATCCCGCTGATGGTTCCCAGAAGCCCTCACAGCTGTCACTTCCTCACAATGACGTCGGCTCCGTCCCAGCCCACAGCGTGCTGGGCCCCCAGCTCAGCCGCAGCCTCCGGGGTCCTCCTGCTCTCATCCCCTTCCCTGGGACCACACCTGCCACCCCCGCCTGGCAGCCTGTGCCGCCCACGGCGCCCTGGGGCTCCCTCACGCCACCCTCTCCCAGCGGCCCGGCCCGAGCTGCTCTGCCTCATTCCCTCACGTCCCCCGGCTTCCCCGTGTGGCGTGTGGCGTCGGTCAGCTGTTCTCTGAACGCCACACCCCACGGCTCCGCCCTGGCCGCCCCAGGTCAGGGTGGGTGTGCGAGCAGCAGATCTGCGCGTGGGCCTCGTCAGCCACCCGAGGCCCCACCGAGAGCACCCTTTTGGGCTGAGGGCTGGTGGCGCCCGGCGCCCCGCGCTGCTAATTCACTGAGGCTGAGGTGATGCGGGAAGCCCCAGGGTTTGTGTGTTTGCAGCTGGGCACGTGTCAACTTCCTGAGGGAAGCTCAGATTTCTTTGAGGCCCTCCATCCTGTCTTAATTGTTTACTGTTCCTTCTCCACTGTCCTCGGACAAATAGCCCAGAGTTTAACCCGCTGGCTTCAGGTTTCTGAGCCCCTGGGTTTGCAGTGTGAGCACGTTCCCTGCAAGCCTGCCTTCCTCTGTCAGGTGACAGCAAGGAGCATGGGGGACCTCAGTTCAGATCCTTGTCACCAGCTCTGTGACCAACTGGTCCTTAATGCTGTTTCTGGTCTGTAAAATGGGACAGCAGTGCCCACCTCATAATTGTCAGACTTGAGTAGGAACGTGCCCCTAACATTCACTCAGCCCAGCCTCGTGGTCCCGTCCTTGGGGACACTAGGGCTCCATTCTCACCATCCTCAGTGGACGGTCACTGTGAGCACTGTGTCCGAGTGGGAGAGGCAGGGAGCTTGGGTTTTTGTGGACGGCAGGAAGCAGGAGCCATCTTCACACCCTGTGTGTTCAGGACGGACTTGATGACCGGGGGAGTGTCCGTCCGTGGGCAGGGCCTTGCTGAGGCTACCCTACAAGGTGACATCCAAGTCCCCTGTCCTTTCCCTGCAGCAAGGGTTCCAAGATGTCCATCACATATGCTGTTCTCATGGCTGGGCTGTGGCCATACACTCTGTCCTTCACATCCTGACCTTATGAACCTGGATACGTCCTGTAAGAAAAAGCTCATTACTGTCCCGCGTGCAAAGTCCTCAGTCTTCCAACAGGTGTTGAGTTGAACCCGCAGTTCGGTTTGGGAAAACTACTTTGCCACTTACTAATCTCTTCCCCCAAACCTACACAGATGGCACAGTAAAACTCCAGACCCGTGTCCCTTCACCAAAGCCCCAGGATGTGGGACTCACCTTCCCACACCGGAACTTGTGCGGGGCTGCTCACGGCAGCCGTGAGTGGACAGCATGGATGCGCCATGGGACAGGACAGAGGGGCCGAGGGGTCACGGACGCAGCACGCAGGCACCTCGGAGAGAACGGGAGGCAAGAGCAGCCGGACATCCAGGCTGCTGTCCTGGGGCTCTCTTCAGTCCGTCCTCCCAGTGAAGTTGCTCCAGTCTGTTTGTCGCCGACATTCAGTACTCAGGGCACCCGCGGGGCTGTTCGCAGACGTGCAGAGCAGGGAACAGTCAGCGGCCGATGCGGCTGACGTTGGAAGGGCTCCACTCCACCTTCTTGCATCTGCTCTCAGGCGGAAGAAACGTCCTTCCCACAGTCCACGCAGTGTCCTCTTTGTCACTTTCTTCTGCGTTTTCTCTTCTTTAATTGTGGCAAAATCCATAGGACATAAAATTTGCCATCGACCCGTTCAGGGACTTTAATACATTCCCAGTGACATACAACCATCGCCACCCTCTGTCTCCATGATGCTTTTCATCTTGTAGGACTGAGTCAGTCTGTCTTCTAACGAACTCCCCATGCTGCCCTCCCTCCACCCCTAGCACCCGCCACCCTGCTTTGTGGAATCCCATAGCATTTGTCTCTGTAACTGGCTCGTGTCGCTGAACACAGTGTCCTCAAGATTCATCCACATTGTGTCATGTTGCACAACTTCCTTCCTTTGTGAGGTTGGATACCATTCTTTCGTGTGGACAGAGCACATTTCGTTCGTCAGTCATCCATCAGCAAACGTTTGGGTTTCCTCAGTGTTTTGGCTGTTGTGAATAATGCTGCTATGACTGTGAGACAACATCTCTTTGAAACCCTCCTTTCGATCCTTCTGGGAACACACCCTGTACTACGTATGTTGCTGCTTCATGTGGTAGCTCTGGTTCTGATGTTTTGAGGAACTGTCCTACTGTTCTCCACAGGGGCTGCCCCAACTTGCATTCCCACCAACAGTGCACAGGGGTCCAGTTTATCCACATCCTCTCCAATACCTCTTGTTTTTAGGATTTTCTTTTTATCTTTTTTCTTCCCCCCACGCCCCCCACCCCGTGCAGGGCTTGAACTCACAACCTCCAGATCAAGACCTGAGCTGAGATCAAGAGTCAGACACCTAACCAACTGAGCCACCCAGGTGCCCCTCTGATTTCTTAGAGTGGCCATCACAATGGGTATAAGGTGGGATCTCGTGCTTTTGACTTCTAAGTCCCCATTATTTAGGGATGTTGAGTATATTTTCAGTGCCTAATGGCCACTTGTCCATCTTCTTTGGAGAGATGTCTGTTCAGGTCCTTTGCCCATTTTTGCACCAGATTCTCTTTGGTTGGCGAGCTTCAGGCATTGTTCATATTCTGGATGATCATCCCTTATCACATGTATGACTGGCAAGTATTTTCTCTCATTCTGTGGGCTGCCTTTTTCCCCTGTGGGATTATGTCTTTTGATGTACAACATTTGTAATTTTGTACAAAGTCAAATTTGTCAATTTTTTCTTTCAGTAACTGTGCCTTTGCTGTCAAATCCAACGTCCTAAGGCATTTGTCCTAAGTATTCTTCCAAGGGTTTTATAGTTTTAGGTCTTACATTTAGGTTTTTAGCTTTTATAACTGGCCACGTGTTAGCCTTCCCTGAGACCTTCCTCCATGCACGGCTTCCCAGGACCGTCTCCTGTCCTTCCCTTGTGCCCGTCCAACTCCCAGGAGCAGCTCTTGTAGGAGAGGCTCAGTGGGCACCCGACGGCCACTGCTTTGTCTGTCTGGCCATGTCTTGGTTTCTCTCTCACTTTGCCGCATGATTTTGCTGGATAGAGGGTTCTCTGCTGACCGGTTTTTCTTCTTACAGCTTTGACCGTATTGGTGCACGTTTGCTGAAACCAAAGTTTCTGATGAAAAGTCTGCAGATAATCTTACTGGGCGTCCTCTCTTGGACGTGAGGACTCTCTTGTCTCTCGCTGCTTTCACGGCTCTCTCCTGTCTTGAAAGTCTGGGTGTAAAGTATCTCCGAGTGGGTCTCTCCGACTTCATCTGACTTGGAATTTGCTGACCATCTGGAATTTTATATACATGTCTTTCTTACAGTTAGGAAGGCTTTCTTCAGCCATTATTTCTTCAAATACTCTCTCTGCCCTTTTCTCCTCCTTAGACTCCAACAGTGTATATACTGGTCCTCTTGATGGTGTCCCACGGGTCCCTTGGGCTCTGTTTGTTTGTTTGTTTGTTTTTTCATGGACTTTCTAGTCCACAGTGTTAATCATG